CTCTGCATTGCAAACGTGTATGTATTGAATAACTTACCAAGCCATTTTCCACTCGCAAAGTCAAGAAGAGATCCAATGGTGACAGTCTTCGAGTGCATTCTATCAAACGTTTTCTGTTACATTTGGTTTGACTTACTTTAGCATGTTTCAGAATATTCGCGCAAAGCTACAGAAAGCAGTTTTTAATTTTTAACTTGTAGACTACAGGGAAGGCAGCTAGTTAATAGCACCCACCAGCAATTCTTGTATGATCGAATAGTAGGAGTTAGCCGTCCTTTGTTTAGCACACCCACGGCTCCAAAATCGCTTACCGCATTTTTGCGGTAACGGGACGAAAACCATCAATCCTCAGAATTACACTCCATAGTTTGGGTTCGATAACCATTAGATCACGTGCGGCTTGTCACATTTAGTTAACGTCATATTTCAGATATCCGTTTCTACAGTTTTTAAGAAATCTAATATGAAGTTTACTTTAATTGAACGTACCAGCAAAGCTCTAGGCGTTAGTTCGATAAAAGGACGCAAGACACATAGAAAATGGCATCATACTAAGAAAACTGTTTTTGTTTGTTTTTTCGTTGTCGTTTTGAAAAGTAAAATAAAACACTTTTATTAAAAAGGCAGTACAATGTTTCACCAACATGTGGTCATTTTCAGGTATACAGATATTAAAATAAAGTCCTGAAGCAATAACTTAAATAGGATATTAACCTTACCCGACATACACAGGGGTTCAGAAGTTATCTTTAAAATAAATATAAATTAACACCAGCATTATAATTTCTTTTTGGTTTTATTATTTCTATTACTATAACTTATTTTATTTGCATTTATTAACTTTATTTACATTGTGTTTCTACCCACTTTAAGCTGTTCTATAATTCACATTATAATTAACGTTTAATGTGGAGTACTACCCAATATTGTTATTTGTTTGTTTGTTTCAGATGTTCGCTCAAAAGGATTACCTGTCCTAAATGTTCCTAATTTTGGACTGATTGATCAAAGGTAATGTATCTTTTCAACAGCACTCACTGCCAACTTTTGAGCTATTCTAATTGAAGAGTGCGATTTTACCATCACTCTCATAACGCATATATGACTCCAAAGTGCGAAGTGTGTTTCTGCAGCAACAGATCGCGAGCCATGAACCCTCGGATCTGTTGTGCGGAACGCTAACTACCTGATCACGTTCAGCCTTAGGTAGAGTGACAATAAACAAATAATACCACTCCACTATAGAGTTACATATAAACATGTACAACCTCTTTAAGTTTCCAAACTTACATGCTACTTTACATTGAGGATTCTCGTGTAATATTGTACATGATAAACTGAAAATGCTTAAAATGAGATGTAATCATTTGGTATAAAAGTATGACGTCATTTATTAACAACAAAATGTAATACACCTTCTTAAAATATTCAGTTCAGTAAGCATTATGCATGATAGTGAAAAAAGATAAATCCGGGTTGTGATAAATAACACCGTTATCATCACGTAAGCTGATCATGTTGCTTCCAACTTCTCTACATTGAATTATTTACTTCTTAATTTGTTTTTTCTGTAAGTGATAACGAGAAGTTAATTTGCTTTGAAGTGATGCTGAATATTTAGTAATCGCATCCCTTTGTAACCGCTTTATTCACTTTCTTTTTGTTTGTTTGTTATAGTTTGTAACATAAGTATTAAATTATTTAACTGGTAATTTGAAAAAAAATCGTTTTCTGTCATGTGTTTACCGTATTACAAATATTTTTTTTAGCAGAAAAGATTTTATCCAAGGATATATTTTGGTACCATTAATGCCCTTGTGATCCTTGTTGTCAACATTAAATCCTCCATAAGACTCATCTTTGCAAGTTTGTCGCGATGAGACTGAAATGCTATGAAGAAATGTCTAAAATATTAATATAAAGCCTATGAGTGAGAGAAACAAACTTTTAGCTCTATTCTTTCGTAGAAATATTGTGTTAAACTTTAAACATCGGAATTAAACTTTAATAATGTGCTTGCACACCTTTAGTGTGTCTGAAAACAGATTTCTTGGGTAAGCTTAGAATTAACCCACGGGTAGAATTCTGCATTCAAAACTTCCGGAATTGAGTTCGAGCAGCTTAGAGCGCCGCCTATTATTATTATTAAACATGCATGTCATATATAATGTAAGAGTTTGCATGCATTCGAGTATTTGAAAATTTTTAAAAAATATGAACGAACTTTAAGATTATTAAAAGCATACCAGCATCCGTACCAACATCTTTGGTATTCGTATTTTAGAACTGCTGCCCAGAGGAAGAGTAATCAATTGGAAGCATTCGCCACCTAGACGGCTACTACTAACAGAATAATGTGATTGACTGGCTTGGTTATAATGGCCCACAGCCGAAAGTGTGGAGCATGTTAAGCAGTAGATCGTGGCTCGAACATTGAACCTTCTGAAACACAGCCCTTTCCATATGTTTCTTCTAAGAATGTTGTATAAAATAAGTCAGCTTAGCCTAAAACACTATAATTTATAGTAAAGAAATCTTCAAAGATGGAACCAGTGTGTATGTAAATTATGTAGAGTGTAAAGCAGTTATTCATTCCCAGATAGTTCTTACAGAATGATGCTGTCAGGTTCAATGGATAAAAGTTAGTTCTGTAAACCATGAAAATATTCTCTATGAAACTTTATCTATAAATTTGCATTGCAATATATGTGTTCAAACAAACCGACTTCGGTTTGCTTTTACAAAATATGGTAATTTTTATGAATAAAGGAAGTTGTTGAGCTTTTACTTTATGAACTGCAAGTAGATTCTACATGCTTGACTAACGTAATGAGTTTTACAGTCTTATCCAAGCATATAACCTTATTTCTTGAAAGCTATGATCAGGACAGTGCAGTATTAAAAACCTAGCACTTCAGAAACTAATATCACCCTGCTGAAGAAAATATGGTACTATGCAAAAACACTCTGTTTTTCTTTCTTAAAAAGAAACAACCTAATATATATGTATGTATGTTAAAACTAAGAAATGTTATATCTAGAAGATGCGGAGATGGTAATGCCGTATGTTCTTAAAGCACAAAACTAATTCTATAAACTATTTAATTAAGTGACTGTGCGAAATTCATATTTTCAAAGTTCCAATAATAAAATAGTGTCTACAAAGTCTTACTATTACCATGATAATGCCAACTACTAGAGTTTCGTCCATTTAACAGTGAATGCAAAACTTTAATGTTGTCATTGTAATATATCAGCTGCTAACAATTGATGTGTAAAATAGTGTCTACAAAACTTTAGAAATGTTATGACAATTCGAACTGTTAAAACGTTATTCATAAACGGTATCTGAAAAATCATAACATTACCATGACTATTCAAACAGTAATAGTTCCATTTCTAAAGTTTTCTTGTAAGTTATTTTTTAATGCATTAATTTAGACGTTTGTTTGCTAGAAGGAGTTAGTTATTACGTCATGATCTAGAAGTTTCCTGTACTAAGTATAAAACGAGTACGATGTAGATGCCGTAATCAGTGAAGCAGTGAGTTCGCAATGAATAATTAATCAGCTTTTGGTTGAGATAGTTCATTGCCAGTTAATAAGTGAAGTTTAATGCGTCTGTGGTTGAAATTTTGCAAGTAAGTTTTGGATTTGTGAATTTAAGTTAGGTGTACGATAGTTTTCTGAAGTTCTGTTAAACATTATTTGAATTGTTGTTATGGAAGTTAAACCTATAAGTAAACGTAGCCTGTAATAAACATTATTCACCTTTTGAAGAAATAAATTAATTCGTTATTATTACCAAGGTTGGACTTCAAATTACTTTTACCAAGTAATCCAAAAGTACTGTTACGTCTACGTTTGTTAATTGATTTTCCGTAATTAAAGTTTCGTTGGAACGAAGGTTGAAGTTAACGTTCGTTCGTTACAGTGTTGTTTTAGCGCGAGTATTGAGATTAAGTGTATCGCAGAGTTATATTCGGAAAGAATAAACCAGTTTTATTAAGTAAAGACTTGTGTCGAAATACCGTGTGACTGCAGTTCAATTACTCACTATCTATATCACTTGCCGCGTCACGTTGTCCCCTCTTATATATATCCGCCTACCCTATATCTAGTAAGAACTTGAACATTCGCCAAATTACAGGATAGTTCTAGAAACGTGGCGTCACGGTGGTCATGTGACTCGCTGACGCAACAATATATTAACTCTTTTTTGTTTATTGATAAAATTTACTTAAATATAGGCTCAACTACAAAATAACTATACTTAAAATGAATAAAATCTACAATAATAGACAGAAAACACATTTAATATAATAATTTAAATCTAAGTTAGAACACATGGAAATAGGCTTTCAATAGAATGTCACTGATAACATATGCGCCACTCCTGGCTTAAGTGAAAAAAAGGGGGATAAAAGCACATCACTTTCAAACAGAGAAGTAGGCAAGATAAGATGTCAAAAACGAAGTAATGGTTAAAAAAAAGTGCCAAAAAGGTTAAAATAAAAAAGAATTGAGCAGTGATATCAACTAATTAACAAAGGATGATTATCAATTATACTTGGATGAGCTTTATGTTTGAAAGCTGTCATATATTTCTTCCGCTCAGAAAGATATATACATGACTGCTTGTTTGTTTTTAAAGCAAAGCCACATTAAGCTATCGGCTGTGTCCACCGCGGGAATCGAATCCCGTATTTTAGCGTTGTAGGTCCTTAGACTTATCGCTGTCTCGTCGGAGGACGTGCAACTGAGAGAGCTACGTTGAAATCATCTTACAAAGTAAATTGAGGTGTAGACAGAGAATTATTAAACAAAAAGCCCTGTAGATAGATAAAAAAATATTTGTTGTGTTGATATTACCTTTATTATTTAACTTTATATTTATTTATTCAGGCTTTATTGGTATTTCTAATAATCTTGTTATAAATGATAAAATTCGAGCTTTTGTGACTATAATAGAGGGCCTTCCAACAACTTACACAAGCTGTTGCACTGTCGTCATTGTCTAGCTGTATTACGTTAGTAACGTTATCTTTTACTTGTGTAAAAACTTAAATAATGGCTGATACTAAACTGTATGATTTATTAGGTGTTTCCCGAAATGCCAGTGATTTAGAAATTAAAAAGGTGAGACTTTTATTTTACAACCAGATAATTGTTGGATGGTATGAGTTTAACTAATAATAATGTATTATTCACTGATTGACCTTACTAAAACTTAAAAGATTGACACTCGAATCACGCGTTTCCCAGTCATCGGAACAAGTGGTGGATTATTAATTTAATATTAAGGACAGATTATTTGTTAGAACTTATTCTAAAGTTAAACTTACAATTAAGGTTTATAATTATAAGTGTAAATTAAAAAAGAAAAGTGTAGATTACGAGTAGGCTTTTTAAGTATAACTACTAAGTTCTATCTGTACTGTACTCTGTAGTGATACAGCATTACATTTACACTGTTACAGGATATACTTAAATTATGATGTAGCAGTAGCACTAGTAAACACTAATACTTGTAATAGTAATACGTATAATGTAAGTTATATATACCTGTAGGTATATGTATATATATCGACATTATAGGCAATAATTATCTTAAATTACTCGTGAATTTTCTATAAAACTAAAGTCTTAAATATAACTAATAGTACTACAGGAATACATTAATTATTTTATTTAATATTTACCAGATGACAACATTACTGTGTATAGTACTAGTACTATTATTAAAAGTAGTAACTAGGCAAACACTGTCAGTAACAAGCCTCATTTATTTTAAGAATAGATGCATCTAGTCCAACAAAGGTAGATACAGATGGCAATGATTAATTTAGTTTCTCATGACGGAAAAGTCAACTATTAATTCAGAATTCAATTAACCTTTGTGAAAGAGATGTTTATGTAGACAGACAGTAGACAGGTTATCACAGTTGTTAGAAAGAGGAGAGCTGGGTGATTAAGTTAGTTAATTAATATAATTGATTACCTACGAGTATTAATTACATCAATTAGTATCATATAGTTGAAGAATTAAAATTATTATTAAAACAATTAATTTCATGAAAATAAGTAATTGAATTTAGTGTATCTGATTATTAATGTTATAGAATATTTGACAAGGTTCTGTTAAACCCGTGCAAGTGGTAAGTTTTTACTATATGAATACAATGTTTATTAACATATTTTTAGAAATTTATTATGGACATTTACTATTTGAATAAAGTGCATATTTATTTTTATATATTTTTAAAAGTTATTAAAACTGCAGGGGTATAATGGAAAAATACTGAATATTTCAACTATCTAAGTAATTAAAATATTGCCATTATGATTTTACATTATTTTTAGTTAATTCAAGGTTGTGTAGCTTAATTATTCAGTGTCAAAATCCATGAAAATAATCAACTAATATAAATTAGTTTTTTTGGTTATTATAATTTTAGATTATCCCAACTATCCTTGTCTCATATGAGAATAATGAGTTATTTGAATGTAATTGATTAATGAACCTGACTGTTACTCAGATATCAAATTCCACTAACTGCACATCTCCATTAAAAATAAGTTTATTTTCATTCTGTTGATTTTAGAAGTATGTACATATTTTTTAACTCTACAGAACAAGCAATAAGTCCTAACCATTTTTTCACTGTTTAAGTGTTCCTCAAACCATATAATTGTACTGTAGATTATCTGTTGATGATTAAAGGCATTATAGAACATTGTTGTCAGTTAACTGCAGGTATTAATTATATACATGTAAGTGTTTGTTACCACAGATTGATCTGTTCTTATTATTTTAGGCCAGAGTTAATTTTTTTTAAAATATCCATGAATTTTGTCTTGATATACCAGTTCATAAAGTAGAATATAATTCTTTATAGTACCAGTCCATTGTTTTGTTGAGCCATATGCATACTTCAACTACCAATTTCAAACAATTTATGGTATAGATACAAGTACAAAAACTATCATATCAGCATTCTTTTGGGTGACTAGGTGATGTAAAAGAAGCATAGTAATATAATGAACTTTTTAGGTCCTCTTGTAATATTAGCTTAGGTTATTTTTTAGTCTGATTATCCCTAAGGTTTATTATTTGTCCTGTTACTTTGTCTTAAAAAAATTTGTATCTTTGAACTTTTTAACTTGGATAACTTTACTGTACATTAAAATAAAGCTTTATGAAATAATTAAAATAATATAAACTTATGTTTTAGGCGTATCGTAAACTTGCCAAGGAATTTCATCCAGACAAAAACCCTGAAAAAGGAGAAAAGGTAAATGTTTTCTCCATTATAAATTTTAGTGTTAGTTTGGTTTTATAATTTTAATAAATAGAAATAGGGCTAAAAATCTTGCTTTACATGAAAAGGTATAAGATAAAAATAACATGAAAGCTATAGATACCCATTCATTACAAAGACAAATTTGTTTTGTGTAACATAACATTTAGGGAAAAATAAGGGGTCTGTTGGTCAACTGAAGCTGTCCCATCCACTGAACTAAACTCTAAACTTATAAAAGAATACAATAATAAAAAGGCCCCCAAACCAGCCATTATTTAAATATTAAGTCTTTTCATCAGTTACTTTAAACTTGCTGGACCTAACACATCTGAAGGCAATCCACTCCAAAGGCCAACAACCCCACTAGAAAAAAAATTAAAATCTGTATTAGCTGAAGATGACTCCTATCCTGCCAAAATTTATATTTGAGTCTTTATATCCTATCATTGTCACCATTAAATGCAAAAAAAAATATATTCACGAACATTATAAATTCTCTTAACAATCTTAAACACCTCAGTCAGATCTTAACTTGTCCTCACATGCCGACCTTTCTATCCCAGATATCATCTTAGTAGCTCTCCTTTGAACCTTTTTTAACCTATACAATGAAATTATAATGCCTTTAGACTTGTATTCATTTTATCTGTAGATACAATCTAAAATCTTATTTTTCCTACCACTAGCAACTTAAGAACCTGAGTAGCCAGAACACCACGATCCATTTCTTCTGATATAATTAGTTACTTCCACTCACCATTATAGCTATTCTCAATTTCACTGCCCTCTAATGCACAAACTTGCACTCACCACTAGCCTTGAAACTCCCACCTAATTCCACATGTATGCCACACCTTCTGCTGCATTTAACCCTTTTGAGACGAGTCACGGGTGAAAGGCCATGTCATCTTGTTTGTTGACTTGCAATCAAAATTGTATTGAACTGCTATTTCATGAATTTATGTCAATAAGTTTGTAGTTTAAATTTTAGTACTACACATTACTCAGTTTCGTAATTTAAAAGTAAATATTAAAAACACAAATAAACAGTGATTTTTGTATGTCACATGGTATGTTGAATGCAGCACTGGTTCAAAATAGATGCTTGTGAAGTCAAAATACTAAGTCTATAGTTTTGTACGAATTAGAAACTCAAGTTACCAATATTCTCAAGCTAGAATATAACATAAGAAAGTCTTATCTTTTCTATTTGCTAAGATATTGCTCATGTAATAAATGAAACAGTGGCATCTCACCCACCTCTTTCCATTTTTGGAAATGCTCCCTAATATACACTTCTATATATGACATGAATAACCAATTGGAAGCTCAGAATGTCCCCCTAGTGGCTTTCTCAGCCATTTTAATGGGCTTGGATGCCATTTCTTTCTTTTGAACCAATATTTCAAGCAGGTGGGGTGTCTTTAGTCTGCTCAAAATTTCATGTTATTTTAGACTAAAATACATCTTAGTTACTAAGCTCGATAAATTATAGTGGAAGTCTATGGTATTGATGTAGTAATTTATGATTTTTTAGTTATTCAAATGTATATATAAAAACTAAAAAAAAATATTTTGTTTCATATCCTCATGCAAAATTTTTAAAGGCTTAGCAACCTACATCAAGCAGCAATCAAGTACAAAGGTCTTAACTAGAAGAGATAATTCTTTGTTTGCTTTACTTCTTTATTTACTGTTCTATGTCTTAAGAAAAAATAAGTTTAAGGACTTATTCCAAAATAGTAGTAATCTATGTATATATATAATGCATAATAATTGAAATCTGACTATACTTTACAAAATACTAGTCTACTAAAACACAGCCAAAACAAGTTACTTTGTACAGACCAAAGGTCAGTTTTGTGTTAATGGATTCGGTAAAATGAGTGTACGTGTGCCACATCATTGTAACATCTGTATTGTTAGCCAGGCATGGCTGAAAGGTCAGTATAATAAATATATATAAATGTATAATGTTATGAGATTTAAGCTATTTAGTCTAAGCATTTATGTTTTCGTGTTATACTTTATGTTCATTCTAGAATGAAAGAGGCATAATTTATATTTATTTCCCAATTTTTTATTGTGGTTATGAGATCAGGCAAATCTACCGAACCCATACAGAGATTCATTACTGAAAATAACAGACAAAATATAAAGTTTTTTCTTAAGAAACGTTTGATAACTATCTGAACATTATAAAGATTCCGCAAGTGAAATTTTAAAATTTTCTGATGCATAAAAGTATTTATAATCTTAAAATTAACATTACTTTGCATGTTAGATAGGCAACATGCAAAAAGAAAAAAAAGGCATGAGAAAAACATTGCTTTTCAAACTTAAGACTTAATAAATAAATTTTATATTTTGCATATGAAAGCATTGTAATGTTTACTGATAATGTGCCAAATTTCATTAACATTTGTGTACTTATTTAAAAGTTATAGCATGAAAACTATAACAAGCACAAAATGGTTACAAGGTCAGTTCCGTGCTGACAAATCCACCTATCCCAGCTGACTCTCTCTATGTAGTTGAATTTAATCTTGAGTTGGTATGAGTATGTCAAGACCTAGTGCTTGATTTCAAACATTTTTTTTCTTCTTCTTTAATGTGTTTTGAAAATATTCACACGTAGCATCCCTGTTGTCTCACACTGTCCATTCCTCATCTAGGTCTGTATATCAATGTAAGTGGAGTATATTCTGTCATTAGTCTATCTGGCATGGATTTTCCCCTTTCTTGGTTGTTTGATAAAAGTCTGTTCTCTTCAACCATTGTGGGCTATAGGACAGCTCTTTGTTTTTCCTGTTTTTGTCATGTGTTTTCCTCTCCAGTTATTTGCCTTCCCTTCATATCCCTTATTTACACCCACTCTGATTCAGATAAGCTCCTGAGTCTGTTTTGTGTTTTACAGTTTTACGTGTTGCCACAGCACCCTTCTGTAACTGTTGCTCACGTTTGTTTATCCATTGAAATCCATCCATTTTTCTTGATATTTCTCCCAATGCCCTTACTGGTTGGGTTTGTCAGGTTATCCATATTGTGTATTTCTCCTGATTCTTGTCAGTTGTTTGGTGTATCGTCCCGCCAGTTGTTTGGTGTATTGTCCCAACAGATCTGTCATCATGTCACAATGTCCTTGGCTGCTCATTTCCTTCATCCTTTGGAGGAGATTATCCAGGCCAGCATTTGGACCACTCTTTCACTTGAGTCACGCTTTTTTGCACCACCTGGCAGTTTCCTGCTCAGTTGGGTATCACTCCCCCCCCCCCCCCCCCCCCCGCCGTTCTCCATATGCCGGTACAACTCTGAGTGGGTAAGTTTTTATTTCATTTCTCCATATTTTTTCTGGGGCTTAGTTTACATGTTGTGGATCCTGCTTTATGGGGAGTGATATTTGTCCAGGTATACTGATATCCAAGATCCACACCATGAGATCTATAAGGTCTATTACACACACTGAGATTGAGTGTTGTGTACAAGACTGTACACTTGTGGACTAACATGAGTAAGGCAGAAAGAGATTGCTGCCTATCTTTAATATTCCTTAGATTGTTGAATCAGGAATGGTCTGCTTTTCAAAATAGGATTTCTTGATCGCTCATTGCACTTTTTCCAGTGATGCATTTTTCTGGATTCTTCAATGTGTTTCTTCCCCCCTTCTTCCAGTGGATTATGGGAGTCCTTACCACTTACGAGCTTTTGGCTGCTGGGGTGGTGGATCCTGGAGGAATCCTTTTGAGTGTGCACAATTTCATTCAGTCAAGAGTAGGGTGGTGGCATTCTGAAGAAAGCGTGACTATCCTCCTGCCATGAGTCTTATGTTTTATTCTGAATACTGCAAGTCTAGGCTGGATTTTTATGTCTATTTTGCGGTTTGTCCCTCCAGCTGGGAACCTTCCCTCCTACTACTGCCTGGATGTCAACTCATGGGAGACTGGTTTAGGAAGAAGCTTGACCAGCCAACATAAGTCCTCACATATGAGTGGGGTGGGAACTTCCTCCTACCACGGATTGGATATTACATCCCCAATGCCAGTTGGTTTTGGACTATAATTGACTCTCCACTTTGCATTTTCACCTTCCTGACATCATCTGGTTGTACAATCCTGTGGGTTATTGTTGCAGCTTGTTCTGGATTTGCACACGTGATGGTTTAGATTCTTGGAATGGAGGCTCCTCTTTCCTTCTGGTTTCTAGACTTGAGATGAATGGTTGAGGACCCTCTCCCTGCCATAGGCCAGTCGAATTCTTTCTGGTGCCATTGGTCTGGACTGGAGTTGACCTCCTACTTACGATCTGTTGTGCCTTAGCCACACTACACACATTCCTCTTCCTTAGAAATTTGGAATTGTTACCTTGTTCTGCCCTTTGCTTGTGACACCACACTTCTTGGCTCCACATGGGCAAAGAGTATATCTGGTTCAAGTAAGATGCAGTCTCCCACAAGTGTTTCCTCTCTATAGAGTTGGCAAACTCCATGGGTGCTTTTCAGACTCTTTTGAAGGGTGCTCATCTTAGTAATTTTTACACCGGTTCCTCCACCTGCTCAATATGGGTGTCTAGCTGTAACTGTGAAAGGAGATAAGTAATCGTATCGGAAGTTAATATTTTCCTACGCTGAAAATATATTTCCGATAGATACTTACCTCCTTTCACACTTCCCACCTGTCCTCTCCACTTCTGGTGTCATTTTTTGTTCCTAATCTTGAAGTGAAGATTGGGTTCAACTGCATAGAGGGAGCCAGCTGAGATAGGAGGGTTTGTCGCAATCCTATTGGTGGAGGACTGATGCATGCTTAAACACAGCTGAACCATTTGGAATTAAGTGGGAGTTTCAAGGCTAGTGGTGAACACAGATTTGCTCATTAGAGGGTAGTCAAATTGAGAATAGCTATAACAGTGAGAAGAGATAATTATATATCAGAAATATATTTTCATTGTAGGAAAATATTAACTTCTATAATACCATGGCCATAGTTAGCTAT